TGAAAATACAGTAAATCAGAACAAAGAACATTACTTCATTTTAATTAATAATGTATAAACAAATGGTGTATAAAATTAATTTATTAATTGTAGCAAATAAGCCACAGTAATGCAAGATGTTAACAGAAACGGGGCATGGAGTAAACGAAAATCTGCGATATCCTTTCATCTTCTCCGTCAATCTAAAATTTGCTGTTTAAAAATGGAGAAAAAACAGAACTTAAGAAGCTGAATTTCTTCCTAGAGAACTAGCATTCATTTAACAGTAACAGAGTATTTTTAAACTGGTATAAACAAACAGCCCTATACCCATCAATCCACTATTTTTCTTTGTTTCTTTGCTGTATGCATTTGCACATTAATATATTATTCAAAGGGACAATACTTAGCCTGTATATTCTTAAAATTTAAACAATCCTTTTTGTACTAAGTACTTCAATCTTAATCACATGAAAATATAAATTTATTCAGAAACTATCCTTAAGCATTCGGGCTTTTAAAAATTCTCTCATATTTAGGTTATTTCCTCTACTTGTTATTGAACGTATAACATTTTTTCCTATATCCTGTATTATTTACTTAAATATTCAGAAATGGGGCCACAATCCTATATTGCTTAATTACAGAAATTAGTGGCAAGAACTGCATCCTCAGGCAATTTCTGTTGTGTCCACAACACAGAGGCTCCCAAGACCACAAAAGAGCATGTGATCCATTGCTGACCACAGCATCATCATGTAACACCAGACATTATTAAATCAAAGGATAATTTTTTTCTTGAAGAATCTTTGGTAAAGGAATCTGTATGCAAAAAGTTGCTTAATCAATCTTATCTGATGACAGTATATTTATTTTTGATAATTAAGCTTGAATAAAATAAAAATTACATTTATTTTAAAAACTCCACAGCATTCTCAATATCCATTTTAATACATATGAAAACAAATCACAATGTGTGTTGGCCTATTAATTTGACTATGGGGTTATTTATAAAATAATGTGTAAAGACTGTCAGGTTTCCATACTTCGATCAAAAACAAAAAAACATCCATTTGGTTCTTCATCCTATAGATACAAGTCTAGTACAAAATATTTGGCATGTTCCTACAATAATTCCCTTAGGTAATGAAGACTTTCAAAATATCTACAGCAACAATTTCATTTAAACTGAGATGAGAGTGGTGGGAAGGAGAGATTATTAAAGAAAAGATGACAGCCATCTGTTCTCACCTTCACAATGAGAAATGAAAAGGCAGAATTAAATTTAAAAGAAAAAACTAGGGGAGGAAATTTCTAAAGCAATGTACGAAAGAAACAGGTCAATAAAAAATATTTTTGAAGGCTAATTTATGTGTTTAGAATGAGTTCCCTCTTACTCATCCTCTAAGAGATGAATAAAATGACTCATTCTAGTATTTTCTGTTCTTCCAATCTAGACACCTCTTTACCATACTTTACCTTATACAGGGAGAGTTACTAGTTACCTGTGTGGAACTAGTACCAAAACTCTGAGTAAATCCGTATCCAAGAAGACACAAATTTAACTTAATATCTGTTTCCTCCATTTCTCTAAAAGATGAATCTCAGACTGTAAAATATCTATGAAATAAGTATGACGAGACATAATGGGTATACAATAGTGTAATTACAGCCTGTTATATGACTTTATGCTAAGTCTATTAATTGTGACATTTTAAGGTACCTTACATATATAATATAGGAAAATAAAAGATTTATCAATTAAGATTAAATATTAAAAAAGAAAATCTTAGTTAAATTTGAATCCAGTGGATCTTTCTGTTAACGTGATCAGACTCCTTTTTGTTAATTTGTTAAATGAGATTTATAGAAAGTCAAGATAAAAGTTTTCTCTTGAATTCACCTGGCTAATGCAAAGTATCATCAAAAAAAAATTTAAATGGGCCCTGCCTGGTGGCGCAGCGGGTTAAAGCACAGCACTAAGAAGATTAAGCCACTTCCACATAAGTTAGATCCCCGCCTGCCC